TTTACCCAGTGAAGAGTACACCCATCCAAGCCATGAGCAGCCACTGTCTCCAGGAGAATGCTGGAAGAATGGAAACGGTGTCAAAGGCTTTACTAAAATCTAGGTAGACAACATCCACAGCCTTTCCCTCATCCACTAAGCGGGTCACCTTGTCATAGAAGGTGAGATACTTCCCTATGACAATTTTTACACTTGCTTTTGCCAAGTTAAGAGCAATGTAAGGAAAATGAGCTTATTATGAGCCCCCTCAGACACTGTATTTTGTAGTACCCAATGGATCACAGTGCTGCATCGTATAACAGGGAACATGCCAAATTGTTCAGACAACATGCTAGCCTGAAACCAGAGAGTCAGCAACATAACAGGATCCCTCTGAGTACTGAGCCCCAATACAAATACTCTCGCCCCCTTGCTACAGCACAGTGTCCTCTCCCCTGCTCGAGGCACAGCTGATCAATCCTGGTATCTCACGGGTGTAAGATGTGCAACCCCGGTGCTGCATGGTAGTAATGTGCAAGAAATAGCCCAAGCTGTGAAAGAGCAGGAGGTAATTTTGTGAGTCCCATACTTAGATGCAGATTTACATCCCCCTGGTCCTCTGGCAGCCCAGCCTGCTCTCCAGGGATCCCGCTGGAGTCTTTTTCACCCTGCGGAGGACTTCAAAAAACAAGTCCAACCGTGGTCACTTGAAGGTGTTCACAAAAGGAAGAAAAGCAACCCTAAAGCAGGTGGCTGAAAAAGAAATGACCGCGATGAAGAACATGCAGAGAAAATGCCAGAAGGCTGATGCAATCATGCTCTCTCCAAACAGCCAGTTAGACGGGACGAGTTGTCCCAAAGATGAGCTGCAGGGCTTCCACTTCTCACCAAACCCATTTGGGTGAAATATTTGTGGTGTCATCTTCTGCTGGTTAATAGTTTCCTTGCAAGGTTTTCTAAACGAAACCTAAATCGCACAAAAGCACAGAGTCCATCTATTTAAACATTTTTCTAGTATATCTGCTGCCCATCTGTAAAGGTACTCAGAAGTTTTCAGCCACATTTCTAACTATCTCAGAGAATGAACCGAGGAAGCCAGCCACACAAACTGCCCAAGATTAGGAAATATAGAGCATTCCATAGCTATCTAAAACAAATAAAATACAAAATAGTCTCTTACTTTCAACTTTAAGTGCAGAAAAGACCATTAGAACAGTTATATTAAAATAATAAGGCAGCACTAAAAAAATTAAGACATGATAAAAATAAAATTGTTCACATAACCCTAGCTCTTTCACCATGAGAATGTACCTTATAAACAGCCTTTATTTCCCAGACACTTGCTATTTTTCTGCATATTTAAACACAGATGTGGGTACTTAGCAACTGTAAAACAAAGTCATTTACTTAAATAACTGAGTATAGATTAAGGTACTTCATTTTATATGTGAATTTTTAAAATCTTGTGTCTGATTTATAATATTAATTAACACCTAGAGAGACAGAATCCTCATATATGGATTCCAAAAATAAGCCACTTACCTTTGCATTTAAGCAAAGAAATAGGGATTTGAGTCTGCTATGTAGGTATCTGTGTGAGTATACATGTGTGCACTCGTGTGTGTGCATGTGCGTACTTTGTATACAAGTTACCTGCATATACAATGGGTAAGAACAGAAAAAGACCTAGGAAAATAAACGATTAACATGTTAAAAGTATTCCATTAGTGTGAGAATAAATACAGTTATATAATGTTAAGGTCGCATCATTCAGTGTATCAAAAATTGTTATGAAGCAGGAAGAGTATTTTGTTAGAAATGCCCATATTTTAAACTGGAGACAAACAGGAAAATCAGGGAAGTTCCAACAGTTCAGAAACACCATGGAGCTGCTGCAATGCAGTATTTCACTAGTATTTCCAAACACAGAACATGGACTTTTTCAAGTTACTCAAAACACTGTCTTCATAAAAGCTTTCACTGTATGAATTAGTTAACAGCATATAAAAAATGTTTCCCTGGAGTGTGCATTATTTTGCACCACTCGCAAGAAAAACAAAGTTTTTGAAGAGGAATAATACATTTTGTTACACTAACTGGTCTGGCTGAAAAAAACAGATTTTTTTTTTTAAGCACACAAACTTTTCTTCAGATCTCTTACCTATTTGTTTCCTGTACTGGTCAACAGGAGTCCTTGCTGTAGAGGCATCTTTTCTACCCATCGTTTTCAATCCAAAAATCACTGTCAGTATCAGGAAAAAAAAGAAGCATTATTCCTAAATAAGATACTAAGGAAATCAATGACTTATAACATCAGAAAAAACTGTAACAAGCAACAGTTACATGATTATACACAAAGACATAAGCCTTCCCAGAATACAATGAGACACTGGAGTTAACCATCACTATTCTGAATACTATTAGATAAATCCTAAACATACCTTTTTCCCTATTGCATGGGTTATTAACATTACAGAATGCCTGTTAGTTTGAATAAAAAAAAAATAAAAAAAGGATTTAAACTGATTGCACTGTAATTCAGCATTTGGTACCACTGAATTACATTCCTGTATCTTTTTTTTTCTTCAGTAAACCAGGGATTGAATGTAGTATTGTGAGCTGCTTCTATTGTTGGCAAACATATTTACACTACCTACACCTGGGAGTCTGAGGCAGGACTAGGCATGTGTGCATCCACAGGTGTAACTGCTCAGGAAACCCACCTGCAGACAGAGCCCTCCAGCCACCCTGAGCAAAAGAGAGGAACAGATACTTAAAACACAGCAACCCCATGCTCTCCTACCTTCCCATCATGGGCTCTAGAGGTCTGAGAATGAAAAGAAAGTGGAGAATAAAGGTGAGAGCTGGGGCTGTGCCCATTTTACACCTCTCAGCTGAAGTACTGAGAGTTTAAATCCCCTTCAATGCCTTTAGGTAACAACCACCCTGACTCTTGAATGGGCTGCTCACGTTGCGGAGCGCAAGCAGGTGACACTAGGATTGCACAGGGAACTACCCTATCGTTCATCCAAAGATGCTCTTTTTGGTACTTTGGTGCTCCCACACCATCCGTGTAACTGAACAAGCGTCACCTGAGTAGTGTTCTAGCAAACCCCCGATATACCCATGGTAATGTGCAAAACCTTATGGTCTCTTATTCATCCCCTCACAGGACTGCCACTCAAAAGATACAGTAAGATTCTACATACATGCTCATTTCACCTCTTTTTCCACAGTTAAAAAATACCTGGCTTTTATAGTCATGCTTGTTGCTCAAAACACTGGTTTTCAACTATTTTGGCCGGGCTGAAGATAGCACCCATCACAGCGATGATAAGCCCTGCTGTTTGACCATCTTTATGACACAAGCATCCCAACATCAACCCCTGCGCTCACAAGAGGACTGACATTTTCCAGAAGTGTCAGATTTACCATTTGAGCGCAAAGACGCACAACAGCAAACACTTGCCTTTTTCCAACCGGCCTTGGCGAGCACAGTGCCATGGGCAAACTTTGGCTGAACCGTTCCGGGTAGCCGCAAACCGTCTGCCCATTGTGCACATATGGCCTCGGAGTATCTGCAAGAGTTTTACTTTTCTGTTAGGCATAACCAGCAGCGTTACAGCAAGACGAGCTTCCCCGGGCTCTGCCAAGGCACGCTGTCTGGGAAGCGCAACCCTTTAAGGCACTACGATGCCAAACCATGGGCCAAAAAGCATGCCAAGGCACTGCTGAATGGGCTACCATCAGCATCCCAACCTCAAACATCCACCATTACTTCCTTCATAGCTTCAAACAAGGTTTAAAGTCTAGCTGAAGGAATGATCCCACCAGTTATTCGTGCATTTTGAAACCACAAAGTTTCTTCTTTTGTTTTTATCTATTCTGAAAGAATTATTGTCATTTAATGTCAAGTGACAAATCCAGGCTCCTTAATTTAAAGTGTGGGACACAGGGCATAAAATGAACTTTGGTGCTCAAAAGTCAGCAACCTTTTTTAAAGGTATTCAGGAATAATAACAAGGTATAAAAGACTGCCATTATTTTTTAATCCGAACTGAAAACTCAGTTATAGTGTTCTAATGTTTCCATACATTACTTTGGTTTAATTGAGAGAATATTCCCATTTTATGTAAGACACATAAGCAGTGAACCGTAATCCACTGGGGTTTTTTTCCCCTCTATTATGCTTCCCAGCTATTCTCTTGACTGAGTTGTATTTCTCACATAATGTTCACATCATAATAACGAGAGTGGAAAATAAAAGTACCATTTGAACTTTCAGCTAGTTGAGGAGATAACAGATACATTTTTACACTGCAAAACTAGTTCTTGGCTTTTTTATGCCACTGTTGGAGACTGTTTTGACTTGCCTTTTGCAATTTCAATAGCCTAATGTTTTGTAACAAAACGTCAGCTGTGAACGATGTTTGCAGTTTTAGCAGTGCCGATAAAACACAAACACAGGCAAAAATTATTTCACGACTTAATCCGAGCCACAGAGATGCTCGCATTTGCCCGTGTGGCTCAGTGTCATCGACTCCCGCACCTAGAACCTCGACTCCTCTTTGTTCTTCAAAGGGATGCAGTAATCATCATTCATTTCCACCGCTTTGATGGTTAGATAGCAAACGCCCGAGAAACCCAGGGAGACATTAGCACACACAGCCGCAATGTCTAATAAGACAGCTATTTGCATAAAAGATCAGCCACAATTTAGAATGTGTTGTGATAGATGTGGAAAGGGAATAACAGATCTATATTAGCATGTACGAAACCAAGATTGTTTTCACAATTTAATTCCTCGGGGACTGTGGCTCATCACCTTCTCTTGTAAAGAATCCTGCATTCCCTGAGGAAGCAACTTGCCATGAGCCAGAGTTAAACTAAAATATGGATTAATAAGAGAGAATATTTATTATTTATGAACCTTGCTGTAGGAGTGGTTTCCAACGTAACTTTCTGATCAGATTTCCATAAAGGAAAAGCCTGGAACCTTTATGAGTCACGAAACGATTTGAAAAGCACCTTTTCCCCATTTAAAATAGCAGTGGTCATCCTAGAATAATTGGTCATCTTAACTTCACTGTAAATGAAATGTGCACTCAAGTCTATCCCAGCTGTCTCTGGCTGCTCCGCTGCCTCCGATGTCAGCAAGTGGATCCAATGTCAGCAAGGGAAGGATCTGGCTTTTCCCATATTTCTTTGCCAAACTGAAGGGATAGCCAGCGCGCCGTGCTGTGTGCACCCTGAGCAGCCTTCAGGTCCATAGAATTTTAATGACTGCATAACCATTTAAAAAACACGTAAAGGAGCTTGTCAGTGCTCTTTTTACAGGCTACTAAAATACTTCAAGAGTAGTTTCAGATCATTTGAAGGCAACGTGAGCCGCCCTCAATTTTCAAGCTTTTACAAAAGATGGTTTTAAGAAAACAAAGCGAGGCCCAATGGAGTGATTTTTTGTTTATTGCTATTTCAGAGATACTACAAGGTCAAAAGACGTCTTTGTTTTTGTGGTACCCTTCACTGTTTTTTCACCCTCTTTCTCCTCCCCTCTAGTAATTAACTTTTGAAGGCTTATACCCTTGGAAGAACACTTGATTTTTCTTTCCCTCCTCTTTTATTCATAAGCAGTGACTGATAATAATTAATACACACAATAAATTGCCTATTATTACCTCCAACTGTTAACAGCATTTTGTGAGATAAAAACCAGTTCTGAATGTCCATTCAAGGTTGTGCTGGTTTTGGCTGGGGTAGAGTTAATTTTCTTCATAGTAGCTAGCATGGGGCCATGTTTTGGATTTGTGCTGAAAACAGTGTTGATAATACAGGGATGTTTTAGTTACTGCTGAGCAGCGCTTACACAGAGTCAAGGCCTTCTCTGCTTCTCACACCACCCCACCGTCGAGTCGGCTGGGGGTGCACAAGAAGTTGGGAGGGGACGCAGCCGGGACAGCTGACCCCAACTGACCAAAGGGATATTCCATACCATATTCACATCGTGCTCAGCATATAAACCTGGGGGAAGAAGAAGAAAGGGGGGGACATTTGGAGTGATGGCGTTTGTCTTCCCAAGTAACCGTTACGCATGATGGAGCCCTGCTTTCCTGGAGATGGCTGAACACCTGCCTGCCGGTGGGAAGGAGTGAATAAATTCCCTGTTTTGCTTTGCTTGCACGCGTGGCTTTTGCTTTACCTGTTAGATTGTCTTCACCTCAACCCATGAGTTTTCTCACTTTTACCCTCTGATTCTCTCCCCCATCCCACCGGGGGGGGAGTGAGCGAGCGCTGTGTGGTGCCCAGTTGCTGGCTGGTGTTAAACCATGACAAAGGTCTGGCCACAGGAGTGTTTAAATCCCAACCCACTATTCTTGATGCATACACAGCTTGTATCAACCAAAAAAAAAAAAATAAAGCAATTACTTTAATGAAATAGAAACATACTATGAATTTAGAAAACTATGAACTTTAGAAATACTAATAAAAAATAAGTACAGGGACTATATAGCACAAAGATTGCCCTTTGTGCATTTATGGTGGAATACAAATGATTAAGAACAGTGATAAGGCTTAAAGTGTGAACCAGTGAACACTAAAAGATCTACATATGTGCATGTGTACAAACTGTCTTAGCAGTGATATTTGATAGTATGTCTGTATTCTTCAACAATAAACTGCCTAAATATTAATAGAGGGCACGTTAAAGAAATAATCAATGAAATGACTGGTTTTGTAGCTGAAATACTGCTAGTCAGTTGAGAGAAAAGCAAGCAAAACTTCAGGATAGAAAAGAACCACTACAGAATGTAAAAGTACTGGACCAAGTCTTCAGCTGTAATTGAAAATGCAGGTGAATGCACAGTGAATATCTGCATATATGCAGAAGTACCTTATCCTTAATTGCAAATGGATATCTAACTTAAAAATCCTTTTTTTTTTTTTGTTGGATGCAATGCAGGTTGATAATTTGAACTCATAACCCAAATCATTTTTTTAATATGATTCAAAGCTTACTGATGTCAGTGAAAGAATTGGTCTTTTACCAGTCAATTCCATAGCTCATAGTTTAATAAATAATGGATATTAAAACCCTTACAAGTTACAAGAGAGCAAAAATAGCCTTTTATCCTCCTCGGGTAAAATCCAAGGAGCATATCAGATCCCCTGTGAACATCAAGTTATTCCAAAGAACTGGAAGCACTGCATTTAAAGTGGGAAACTGTCTGCATGTAGGTAT